TTATATGCATATATATATATCCATATTGAATTCATCCAAGTTTGTCCATCCATCAAATTTTAAAATTGCAAATAGTACCAAGGCCGGGCCGAACCCTATATTTAAAACTGAATATTTTAAATTGCCATTATTAGCTATAAAAATTAAAAATAAATGTAATATATTTTTTAAAAATCGGGACCGTGCCTGAAAATATACAACTTGGGCCTGGCTGGGTCGTACAAATGGTACCTCTTCAAGTCTCTGAAAAATACTATAAAACTTATATGGCAAAAATTATCAGTTAAATATTGGCATAATTTTTTATTCAACTATTATTTTTAAGAATAAATTGGAATTAAATGATTGTGTATATATATTATTTAATTCTATGATTTATAATAGTTACTTTATTGGTCTTATAGTCCTTAAAAATTGCTTACTTATAGATTTATTTTATTAGTAATTAATTGACACAATTATTCCCTAGGGAATAAACTCTAATATTGTTTTAATATCTCTTTTAGTCATCGTTAATTTTGCTATTCATTCTCGGGATCAATTTAATATTTGAAAAGTTTGTTGTAACAAATTCTTGGTCAAAATTTGGCTTATGTGTTTCCGAATCCTGTAAAATTGATACTTTGATCATATTATTGAAATAATAATCCATATCGCAAATAAAATGATTCCGCTTTTGATATTTTAACTGACTCTATTGTAACTGACTCTAATTTAGTGATTTTTACGATTTGCAACTCTTATTAATTGATAAAGAGTGAGAGGGCTATGGATTTCATTTTTTTAAAAACATCTTTCAATTTGCCTATGCACTAAATCGACCTCATCTTAAATTGAATGGTCAACAGTAATGTAGTAATTTGCTTGGACGTAAAATTTACGACCCAATTTTATGCCCAGGCCTGCTTTGAGCATAGACCCGGGGTTCAGACCTGAGGTTCAGACCCGTATAAGAAAAAAATGGAATATCAAGTGAACAAATATATAATTAAAAGAATAATTTTCCAAAATTAATTTTAATTCGAAGAAATGGCAGACGCACATACTAAATAAAATATCGACAATATATATTATATTCAGGGTGAAGGTTGGAGTAGAGGTCATAAATATAATTTATTTTCTTGCTAAACATAAAAAAGTTGTATGATTATTTGAATTTGACATGTCTGCTATATAATTATATTAATAATAAATGATTTATTATTTAAAGTTGTTAAAATTTGGAAAATAAATTACATAATAATAAATCACAAGAGAATAAATTGTGGTATATAAAAGAATAAAAATTTTAAATAAGAAACTAAGAAATCCTGAATAGGAAAAGATTTGTTTTGACTTTTAAAGAAAACGGGGTATGTGGGGTATTTATGATTAAATACAGAAGAAATTTGGTAAAAATTTTTATTTTGCGGGAGAATAATGAAAATCGAGTTTGTAAAAAATGGCTCAGTTACCCCCCCCCCCCCCCACCCCTCCCACCATTTATTATTAAATATTTTATATATAATAACAAAGTCAGTAAAGTTTTGTAATATTTTTCAAAAAGAATACATGTTCGCTTATTTTTAAGCGTGGGGTACGAAAAAATTATACACATTTCTCCAATGCTTAGACCTTATATTTTGGAGAATCATGAAAAATAGAGAGCATAATAATCTCCTCAAACTAGATATAAATATCTAGCGTTATTTTTAATATATTTATCATATACAACATCCATCAATTACAAGGTTATACATACCCATATTATTTATACATTTGTAAATAGAATTATTAAAATGGAATATACAAAATAAAAAATTTAATACAAAATAAAGCGAGAAAAAAAATACATAGTATAAAGAGTGAAAATAATTATAATTTATTTTTTATATTCCCATACGATTTTTTTAAAATTTTATTTTTATATATTATTATTTTTTCTATCTCCTGCAAGAAAAATATATTATTTACTTTTTATTTTACTCTTCTTTCTTATTATTTTGTTTCATAATAATAAAATATTTTTCTTTGTATATTATAAATAAAAATATAAAAAAAACCAATCCCTTATTTTTTTAGGTTATATTTTTTCTTCCATTATTTATATTATAAAACTTTTAGATATTTCATGTTGAATAGCCGCCAAATCCAAATTAAAATATTATTAGCTAGTCGTCTATTAGTTACAACTACCCATTTTGATAAATTGTGATGATAAAAATATTCCAACCCCCAAAGACCTAGGGTCACCTTGGAATAATAATTGTTTACGATTAAAATATTAAAAATACCATTTATTTGACACCCATATCAATATTTTGAGTTAATAAAAATATTCCTGTCCCCTCAAAACCTAGACCCACTTAAAATAATAATATCGGTTACAATTAAAATATAATTAAATTAGCTTTTGTTTGACGCTAGTAACAATATTTTGCGTTGTTAAAAATATTCATGATCTCTCAAGATCTAGAAACGCCCACTTAGAATAATAATTATGATAACCGTCAAGATATAATAAAACACCTTTTATTTGATACCCATATTATTTTTTTGTGTTGATAAAAATATTCCTGATCCCCCAAGCCTTAGATTAATCAATCGAGAGGAAACGCTTGTCCTCCTAATGAATAGATCTTTTGATTAGCTCTCGTTGATATATATATTGAACATATATACTTTCCAAAGTTCAACAAAAAACAACTATATATTGGTTATTGCTCCCGGTCTGGACCCCGAATTTGAAGTCCGGGTCTGTGCTCGGAGTTCTTACTCGTTTAGTCAATTTTTAGACCCAAACTGGGCTTTACACAACCAACCAATTAACAAAACTAGCCAGGAGCACCTTATTTAATAAATAGTTTCGAGCATACTCGTTGAATTATTAGCTAAATAATGTTTTAAAGCATAAATTATAATGGAATTTTTATTTTAGGGCACACAGGTATCACTTAGATAATTAGGTGCGGGATAGTTGGAAATTTTTTTAATATCACATCTATTAATACAATCATACTGCAAGCAATATCATTACCGGTTCTTCCAGTTTGGCCTTGATGCCAAATAACTATACCCACCGTTGTCTTGACTACAATTTGTGGTTTCATTATAAACATATAATTTTCTTTCATAATATTATGACCCAATCTCAGACCTTGGTATTGTTGTAACATTTTGAAAGTCAAATAATATAACTTTTGACTTAGATATAATTCTATCCATACCTCTACAATCCTAATTTCAATATAATCATCATGGTGTTTTTTGTAATTTTCAATATCTTGTTCATTCATAAAATTTTTATTAATTAAATATTTTTCGCATTTATCACATCTATCTTTAACTGGTTTAACAAATCCGATATTATAATTATTTTTAAATATGTTGTGTAATAATAATCTTTAACAGGAATTTTTGATAATTCATCACATTTTTTAGAAATCATAAAGTATTTTATAATTGAGACTTTTCGCCTGTAATGCGAATGGATTTTTGAAATGATGCGTATATTATCAATAATAAAATCTTTATCTTGATCAGAAATAATTTTTTTTAGTATTTTTACCTTTTCTAGGAGCCAAATAAGTTCCAATTTTTGGTATAAATTTTTAAAGAAATAACTAATTGATTCATTACTTATATCAAGTGTTTGTAAAATAAATTGTTTGCAAACTCTAACTTTAACATTCTCCACTTCAAAAACCATAAATATGAATAGTTTTTATAATTAAAAGAATATTTTGCCCTTCTCTGCACTTTTATCTATAAATTTGCTATAGAAAGATACCTTAGCTTCATCAGCTATGCTCCAAAAATCCTCATGAATAATTTTATTCAGATCTGCATAACTTTTTTTATGACACTGAAATGAATATTTTTAGAATGATCATACTAAACTATTCTTACTCTTTTTAAATCACCTTTAATATTAATATAGGTATCAAGTTTTTTTCTTGCTTTGCTTCTAGAAGTTAAAGGGCTAGGTAAAGTAAAAATAGTAATATTCCTTAATTCAATTTTTATATCTTATTCAATGAACAAATAATGCTTAATAATTTGTTTATGAAAACTATATTAAGAATACTATAAAATAATAAAAAATTTACCTTGACATTAAAATAATTTGAAAATAGATATGGAATGAAAATATTCTATAACTCCATTTGAAAAGCAAAAAATTTAAAAAAAGGAGGGAAATACACGTGATTAAATAAGATAATAAGATATGCCATACTACGAAGCAAAAATTGCATCGTTATTTATATGTATATAGTTTAAAATCGACAGTTGGCAAAAATTAATATTTTTTAATCTAGTTTATATATATATTAGGAATAAATAAGTTATTATCCACTTCTAACTCAAAAATTTTGTAAATGTCGAGTGGAGCACTCCAATTCTAGACTCACGATGGATAATTTTGAACAAAAAAAAATCATAATGTTGTTTATTTTTCTCCATTTGTTATTTTATCTTATAAAATTCTCACAAAAAAAATTGAGTAAATTTAAGGGTATTACTTAGAAATAGTATATTACGTGTCAATTTTTTAATTTTTCCTATATTTCATTCTAAACTTTAAAATCTTTTTTTTCCAGTTTTCAATTTTGCAAGAGAAACACTCCAATTCCAGACTATTTTTAAAATATACATATTGTTTCTGATAACATATTCCAATATTGGGGCGAGGGGGGAATGTCTAGATGGAACATTTTTATTTGCTTATTTGTCAAAAGGACTATCTTCATTCCACATTAGTTGTGCCAATTTTTTCTTTAAAAATTTTAATAAAAAAATAGTTGATGATGTTAAATTACTAGATTATATCTCTTATTTTATATAGATAATATATAAAGCTTAAATTATATTACCTATACAATTTAAATTGAAGCTTAGACTTGACCTGAAATATCAAAACTAGAGCAAATGATTCATGAACTCTTCCATACTTAAATTAATTCGTATACTCCCTGAGTTCTCTACTTAATTATTCTTTCAATATATTTTTATCGTAAAAGAGACCATAGGAGTTCGCAGTCTAGAAGTGCGGGGAGGATGTTTTAATAATTTCCCCAATGCCACTCCGATATGTTATTCGAACGAAGAACCAGCAGAAGTTTGCATGGAACGTTACATCTCTCGTTACAAGTTTTATCTGGCGTTCGAGAACAGTAATTGTGTGCATTATATAACGGAAAAATTTTTTCGTGCACTCTCCATAGGGTCGGTGCCCGTAGTATTTGGAGCTCGATACTCTGATTATGTCAAGATAGCGCCGCCACTTTCTTTTATCTTCGTGGCTTCGCCCCTGGCAAGGAAAGCCGCCAGAGTCAAGGGTGAATTTGTATTTATTTTATATATACATACCTTAATCTTATAAAGGATCATAATTATCCAGACCTGGGCTTTTAAGAATTTTTTTTAATAATTCAGAAAATTAGCGCTTTCATTATATTAGATAATTATGTAATGTAATGTATATTTTTATCAAATTACCAGGGAAACAATCTCAAAATTTATCCATTCCAAATATTAATCCTGAGATACCAAAGAATCATCCATATTTCCATTCCAACAATATAATAGAACTAACTAAATACCTTTTAAAATTAGATTCCAATGACACACTTTACAATGAGTATCACGCTTGGAGAGAAGAATACATTATAGTAGGTAAAAAGAACAAACATCTATGCTCAATTTGTAAACATTTACATCTCAAGGACATCCCTAACAAATCATACAAAATATCAGATTGGTGGAATAAAGATAGGGATTGTAAAAATTAAATAGAAGGCATCCAAAAATCCAACTTTATTAAGCCTTATAAAATATCTTTTTAATTATTAATAGATAAAATTCAGCTTATTTATATAAAATTTATAATAATTGGTGAAGGTTTATTTCTTCTCAAAAATTTTAAACAAATTAACTTTGATATTTGACATTTAAACTTTAAGTGTATTTCAATAAGATTTGGTTCAAAATGTTTCTCAGAAATATGTTTATGAAAATTTTTAAGTACAAATTTAGTTTTTAACACTTCAAAGGTAACTTTATAAGTTTTATATTTTTACTATTAAATTTTTTCATAATTACTAAATGTAATAAATTAATAAATGATTATTTATGTATATTGTATATTAAAAACAGAATCGAACATTCGAAAAATAAGAAATAAATATTTGATATCAAAAATAAATTAAAATATAAATTAGTAGTCGTATTGTTTATAATTTAGTAGTTGGTATTACTACAAATGGCGACGATAAATGGAGAAAATAATTCCTTAAATGGAGATAATAATTCCTTAAATGGAGAAAATAATTCCTTAAATGGAGATTCAAAAAAAATAGCGGATTTATCTACGATTAAATTTGATAAATTCGAGTTGGATACTTCTATCCACAGATATTTTTCTCAATGGGAAGCCAGTTTTCGGTTAAAAAACGTAAGCCCATCTGAATGTCAATATAAAGATATATTTTTAACAATTTTTGGCAATAAGAATATTGAGTTGGTGGACCGTTTTTGTTATCCTGATTCGATCGAAACTTTATCTTTTAAGGAAATTAAGTCAATATGTTTTAAACTATTTAAACCGACGTCAACAGCCTTTGCTTCTAGATTTGATTTCGTTAGATTACGGAGAACAACTGAAACCATAACTGAATTTGCAGATAAAATTAGAACAATTGGCAAGCGTTGTCATTATCTTAATGATATTGACGAGCGTTTACGTGATCAGTTTATGGTTGGCATGGAAATACCGGGATTGGAAAGAGATCTTAGAGCTCTATATCCCGACGGTCTTGATAGAGATAATAATGTACTGACTTTTCAATTTATTCTTGATCTGGCATTAGCTTCTGAGCGAGCAGATAAAGAAATGGCAAATAAAAATATGCCAGTTGTTAATAAGATAAATGTTAATAACAAAAGAAATGATAATGATAATAATTATAAACATCCAATAAAAACGACGACTACAATTGATAAAGGCTATAATAAAGTCAAGTATAATAATACATTTGATAAAGAGAATAATAAATACAAATATAATAATGATAAAGATTATAATAAACTTAAATGTTATAAATGTGGTTTTATTCATAACCGAGAAGTGAGATGTCCAGCTACAAATGCGGCATGTAATAAATGTAAAAAAATTGGTCATTTTGCAGTTTGCTGTAAATCAAAGAATTTAAATTATATAAGAGTGTCATCAAGTGATTCTATTCATAATATTTGGAAGATTCAACAAAATCGAGAGAATCGAGCAAAACTAACTGCAGAGATAAATGGGTTAGATGTTGAATTTGATTTTGACACTGGTGCACAAGCGTCATTGATAGGAATTGATATATGGACAAGTATTGGGCGACCAAAAATTAGGCCAACCAGTCCATTGACTGCATATGGTGATCATCCGATAGACGTCAAGGGCGAGACCCAAGTCAATGTTAGGATTGGATCACAGACAAGGACTCTACCAGTGGTAATAATGAATACAACTGGGGTGCCTCTTTTCGGATTACCATGGATTATAGCATTCAATTTAGAAATGCCTCGTCAGATTATGATTAAACAAGTACGCAATTTGGTCAACAATATTGAAAAAGAAAAATGTTGCATAACACTAGATTCTAGAATTCGAGATTTGATTAATAAACACCAAGAAATTTCGGAAGAGAATCAAGATTCTAAACATGCTTTGGATATTCGAAGTATTAATTTGGATTATATGCAATTGTCAGAAAATATTCTGCGAAAAGAGTCGAAGCAAGATTTAATATTAAAAAAAGTAGCAATACATATTCAGCAAAGTTGGCGAAACTTTGATCGTCATAAAGATAAAGAAATAGTTAATTTTTATAATCGACGGGAAGAGCTTTCTGTCAATCGTAATATTATAGAATAAAATGGGAGATTGGTTATTCCTAATAAATTAAGAAATGCAGTGTTAGGAATGATTCACTGGGGACATCCTGGGGAAAATGTAATGAAATCTATTTTTAGATTGTATTGTTGGTGGCCCAGATGTGATGTTGATATAGAAAATTTTATCAAAATATGTTCTGGATGCCAGAAAAATAGACCATGGTTAGAAGTTGATCTAATGCAGAATACCTCTGCTGATGCTATGATAAAACGACTAAATAAATGGTTTTCTAGGTTTGGAATACCCAAGTACAGTGTGTCAGACAAAGGACCACATTTCTTATCTGGGGAATTCCGTAGGTATTGTGATTTAAATAACATACGTCATATACGTTCAGCACCCTATCATCCAAAAACTAACGGATTAGCTGAACGTACAGTACGAACTTTGAAAGGTCGGTATTATGCAACGAGAGATTCAATTAGCGATCCCGAAGAAGCTATGACACAGGTTTTAACAACCTACCGATTGGGAGAGCATAGTTCCACAGGGAGATCTCCTGCTAAAATTATGTTTGGGAGGCAATTGAAAACAAGTCTGGATTGGATCCGACCAAATGCCGAACACGAAATAGTAAGGGCTAATGATAAACAAAGCCTTCATCATGATTTACATTCAAAGGAAAGAGAATTTGAAATCTCACAACCTATATGGTTAAATAATGAAAATACCAATGGTTGGAGAGAGGGAGTAATTAAAGAAAGAATAGGACTTTATTCTTATATTGTTGAATCTTCCGGGAAAACATTACGGAAGCATGCAGATCAGTTAAGAAATCGTTTAGTTATCCCAAATCATGAAAGTTCTTTGGAAGTCACAGAAATGGTTGTGCCAGTGAATGAAGCAAATACAAACACAAATACAAATACCACATTACGTTGCTCATCAAGAAACCGTAAACCTACAAAGAGGTTTATTGAAGAAATCTAACTTTAAATTGTTTGAAGGAAATGTAATAAATTAATAAATGATTATTTATGTATATTGTATATTAAAAACAGAATCGAACATTCGAAAAATAAGAAATAAATATTTGATATCAAAAATAAATTAAAATATAAATTAGTAGTCGTATTGTTTATAATTTAGTAGTTGGTATTACTACACTAAACATTAATCATAAATGATAAAGTAATCTTAATTTTATCATGTAAAAAGATATTGACAATATTTATGCTAATCTACTTTCTAGAAATTAAATGTAAAGACCTGAAGCAGGTTTTGGCGGGGTGCGTAATTGCCGTTTTTAATCAGGGATTATTTTGTATTAAAAATAAATCCAGCAATATTTGTTGTGATATATAAATTTAATTTTTCATATATTTACATGAAGAATATTTGATTAAAGTATTTTTGAGATAAATTATATTATAGACTATACTATGTAAATGATATGTTTAAAAAGGAAAATCGAAGATGTTAATTTTAAAAGAAGGTTTTATATTTTCTTATGATTTGATATTTATACTCATCAATTTTTTATTATTGGAAGATAATTTGTACATTTTTTTACTTTTTATTTTGTTTATAACCTATATTACGGATTATAATTATGATTAATGGATGAATAAAGATTATTCAAAGGGTTTTTCAAATTATAGCAAATAGGTTATTATAACCCAATGTTTATAAAAAAATAACCATAGCTATTATATTATGTCTATGGCAATCTTTTTTATCTGACTAGAGCTGCTTAATTATAGCTATTTTTCATGGCTAAAATTAGGCCTTTCCTCAACTATAGCTAATGTCTTCAAAACACATTTTTATTGTATATTTTTTTTATTCCTTCAATCTAAATTTTTTACAAAAAAATATAAAAACATATTTTATTGTATTATAAAATTATTTTTTAAATTTTATAAATAATTTAAGCCGAGTTTTTAAGTCAGATCAATTACCAAATTCCTTTATTTTTATTTTACTTTTCGTTGTAAATTTTCAGTCAAGATTATTAAAATCTATTTAATATAAAAAAATTATCTATCAAGATTTAATATATTCTTATTCTCATATAATTTATTTTATAAAGAATATTATATCAATTTTACATATTTCTTCAGGTGAAGATAATTTGAAGCCTTGGCCCCAATATAAAACCTTTTTTACACCAATAAAAAATTAAGGGTACACAGTTTACACTTGTCCCAATTCAAGTATTTTCTCATATTTGGAATAAATATGGGCAATCTCGAAAGTGTTGGCCATTTTTAAGGAAAAAATTGGAAAATATCTGATTAATCCAACTTCGTGAAGTTAATAGTCTTATTAAGGATAAAAACTAATTTAAGGAATCTTGTGATAAATCCGAATTGCAGAGATTTTCAGGTAATGACAAGTCATTCATATATATTGTATGGTTCGTTGTTACCGTTCTTTCGATTATAGAGCATAAGGGATATCTCACTCCCATCATAATTTATAATATTAAAACTTAAAAACATTCAAAATGAGGATTATTTTTTAATTTTTAATAAATTCTTCCAATTAAAATTTTTATTTATTAAATCTAATACAACTCCTATTCTCTGCGCTCGTTGAACATGTGTTTAGCACGGCGAAAGATGTCTTGAATGAGCACTATCTTGTTTGTCTGATAAACATTTTTAATCGATTGTTATTTAAATGAATAAAAAATTATTATAAATATATGTTATCTTAAGTATTGATAGGGATAAATTCTGATTTCTCAGGCGCCCGTTGAACATGTGTTTAGCACGGCGAAAGATGTCTTGAGCACTATCTTGTTTGTCTGATAAACATTTTTAATCGATTGTTATTTAAATGAATAAAAAATTATTATAAATATATCTTATCTTAAGTATTAATAGGGATAAATTCTGATTT